CCCCTCTCACCTCCTCCAACCTCTGCATCCCCACCAGTGGCCCAAATGGGCCTGCAATCCCCATCACCTCACCCTTGTAATGAACATCAAAAAGTTAAGTATTAAAAAAAAAAAGAGGGCCCGGCGCGGTGGCGCAAGTGGTTAAAGGTCCTCGCCTTCCATGCCCGGGATCCCATATGGGCGCCGGTTCTAATCCCAGCAGCCCTGCTTCCCTTCCAGCTCCCTGCCTGTGGCCTGGGAAAGCAGTCGAGGACGGCCCAAAGCTTTGGGAACCTGCACCCGCGTGGGAGACCCGGAAGAGGCTCCTGGCTTCGGATCGGCATAGTATCGGCCCGTTGTGCTCACTTGGGGAGTGAATCATCAGACGGAAGATCTTCCTCTCTGTCTCTCCTCTCTGTATATCCGCCTTTCCAATGAAAAAATAATAAAAAAATAAATCTTTAAAAAAAAAAAAAAAAAAAAAGAATGAGCCAAAATCAGATTTCTTTTTATGAAGACCTGCTAATCTTTTCCTATTCACAGCTCCTATGATTTTTAAAAAGAAAAAAGCGAATTTGCATCATTTCATAATGCTGTGGTAAATAGGCCTTTCTCCTGTTTAGAGAGGAATAACCACTATTGCTCAGTGTCATTCAGAATTATTCAGTAAAGTTCTTCCTGTCTGCTAATGTTACAAAAAGACAGACATTATGTGCTGCCTGTTTCCTATATTGAAGACTCACTTGACTCAGACTTATAGGAACACGTACTATTTAGGCACAGTGTGCTTTTTCTCTTGGCTTCACCCACTCCCACCCCTACTCTGTAACTCTGATTTTCAAATAAGTAAGCATATAAATATTAAAACAAAAACAAAAAAAATTTTGGATGGTTTCACCATAAAAAAAAAACTGAAATGTTTGAAGGGAGAAATGTATTTGCCATGATTGAACATTATACAATATAAACATGAATCAAAACATTACCTAGAATGTGATATGTCTATTAAAAGTATACTATTTTTTAAGTGAAAATATAGCAACCATAAAGAATACTGCAGTGAGCAAGCAGTATGAGGGTGTGCAAGAACAGGTAATTAATGGTGGACACATAAGAGTTTATCATATTTTTCACTCCATTTAAAATTGGGTTACAGTATTCCACAAAAGAAAAAAAAAATGGCAAAGAAACTAAAACACCATGATACCTACTGTAGTGAATTAATCATTATTATTCCACGCACTGTAATCACCATTTCCCTGTATTAACTTAATCTTTAACAATATTTAATCTTTAACAAATATGTTCTGATACTATTCCCATTTTCCAGATAAGAAATGCAAAGCTGTTAAATTCACAAGGGGCAAGCTTCAGACCACACTCTCCTCCAGTGGTATCTGAGTTAATTATTAAATGCATGCTGCTTGCGGATCTGGAGCCTTCTCTCCCTCTTCTCGTCTGACAACGGTTCTCTGCTAGTTGATATGCTGACCCAGCGATGTCTTGGCTGAGGGATTACCTCCTGGCTCTTCGCACTTTGCATTATTATTCATCCACCTTTCTGGGTCACAATATGATATCTGAGCTTAGTTAGGAAAAATAATCCAATTCTTTTTGTATATCTGAATGCATTTTTCATAAACCTTCTCCCTCTTGAATCAAAATATAGATTAAAAAAAGTCTTTAAGGGAATAGAAAATCCGATGGCTTATATACAACATGAGTCTTGTTAATCTCAAGTATACAATATTAAATCAGTCATAGATTCAGGTCATGAGCCAGCGTTTTCAATCATCCTTGTGTACAAAGGATTTCACATCAGTGGTATTAGCATAATCTTTAAATAGACATTAAAAAAAAAAACCCAAACCACCCTCTAGCAGGAACCTTGAGAGGTCATCTAATCCATCCCTACTGCTAGCAGGGATGGGTGTGAGCCATATCCTTGGAAGGATTTTCATAAGCTTCATTGTTAATGTTGCAATGGCTCAGACTGCTTTTTTTAGAGTGAAAAAAAAAAAATTCTCCAAAGTCTGGATGTGGTAATTTAGAGCTTGACAAAGCTTTTCTTCTCTTAACAATAGGTCAAAAGGACAACACAATAATAGCAATAATAAAGAGAAACTGAAAATGTATGACAAAGCAGTCACAGGTGCTTGGTACGACAGCTAGAGATGCTTATTGGGACAATTCTGCTTCCCTAATCAGAGTGACTGGTTCAAACCCCAGCTCTTGCTTTCCCAATCCAGCATTCTGCTATGCGCACCCTGGGTAGCCCCAGATGATGGTTCAAGTATTTAGGTCTCTGACAACCAATGTATAAGACACAGATTGAGTTCTGGGTTCTTGGCTTCCAGCGACAGAGGTCCTGGCATTTATGGACATTTGGGTAGCAAAGCAGTGGATGAAAGATCTTCCTGGGTCTGCCTATCCTTTCAAATAAGATGAAAATAAAAATAATAAAAATAGTAACAACTGAGAATCAGTATGATTTTCTAAAATTAGCAGTAAACCCCCTTTAACTCTTATTAACACAAAAAATACACCACAGCCACTGTTTTTACAGATGGTATTAGTGTACTGATCAAGATTGAGTCTGATAACTATTATTACACAGGTAGCATTACCTACTGTATTTTACAGATGACAAAATTAAATCTGAATCTTGTTCCTACTGTTTCACTTTTGTACACAAGGTAGGATAGTCTCCACTGGGCCATCTTTAACAGAGCCTGGTCATTGTGGAATAAAGCAATGGAAACATAAAGGAAGTTCGCATGTGCAGTGTTCTGAAATTACATCAAATGGCAACACAAATCAGTTCAATGTGACGCTCCAAAACAGTATTAGCCAGTGACGAGGAGTGTGGATGTAGAAGTGACTTACACCTTTTGCACTGCATTTTCTTAAATGAGCACATACTGTCTGCCAGTAGTACTTTTTACCTTTAATGAGTCCTTTCCTTATGTTACTAGGATAATTTTTTTTACATTGTCTGTAAAGACATTCATAGATTATATCTGGATTATATATAGCCTTTTCGTTTTTAGAAGAGGGCTAGGTTATCAGACTTCACACATTTTAGTGTGTTTCCTCAGTACTGGGTTTAAAAAAAGATGATGATGAAGATGAAGGAGAAGGAAGAGGGGGGAAGAAGGAGGGCAAGGAAGAGGAGGAGGAGAAGCTGTTCAATCTACTTCATATCATTCCTTCTCCCAGCTCAGAACACATTCCAACATGGTTAGTGTTGTAATGCCCCTCCAAGATTTCCTTCAAAGAGAAGTGTCCACGCTTGGTCTTTGGGCAAGTGAAGTATTTACGACCTTAAGAGGCTGTGTTACAGAGTTAGAAGACGCTTTGAGTCCTTACCCTACAATTTGGCTTTTTTGATTTTGGATCAGCTTTTTATCCTCACTGAACCTCAGAATTCTTATCCATTAAATAGGACAAAAGTGAACTATTTTAAGAATTAACCAAGATTACGCCTAGCATATACATACACATTAGTTTTTGTAACTATCATCATTCCAGTCATGAAATTCAGCTTTCCACTGCAAAATTTCTGAATACTCCAGTGACAGAAAAATTATCTGGCTGGGGGCTGGCTTGTAGTATAGCATTTTAAGCTGCTGTCTTCAGTCCCAGCAATCCTTATGGGCTCTGATTCATGTCTCAGCTGCTCTATTTCCAAAGCAGCTCTGTGTTAATGACCTGTAAAAAGCAGTAGAACATGCCCAAATGTTTGGGCGCTGCCACCCACCAGAGAGATTCAAATGAAGTCCCTGGCTCCTGGCTTCAGCCTTGCCCAGCCCTGGCCATTGCAACCATATGGAGAGGGAGCCAGGGAAGGCAAGATATCTCCGAGTCTTTTCCTCTCTGTGTAAATTATATACATAATTAGGGGCCAACACTATGGAATAGCAAGTTAATCTACCATCTGAAATGCCAGCATCCTATATAGACATTGGTTTGATTCTTAGGTGCTCCACTTTGGTTCCAGCTGCCTGCTAATGCACCTGGGAAAGCAGAAGACTTTCCAGTTGTTGGGTCCCTGTCATCGGTGCTGGACGCTCAGATGAGGTGAACCAGATGAGGCTCCTGGTTTCTGGTTTCTTCCTGACCCAGCCCCATCTGCTGCAGCAATTTGGTCTGATCTGAAAAAGCAGATGGAAGAGTTCTCTGCCTCTCTCTCTCTGTCTCTCTTTGTAGCTCTGCCTTTCAAATAAATAAAATTAACCTAAAAACAAACAAAAAATTAGCAGGTTTAACATTTCAGAAAATGTGTTTCCTCCAGATTTAGAGCGTTAGTCACCACACCACAGCTCATTCATTTCATCAAATCCCTTTCAGGACAAATGCTGCTGTGCCTGCCTTATGACTACTTTTGCACTACAGGCAAAGAGTTGAGAAATTGCCCTAAAACCATAAGCTCACAAAGCCAAAAATACATACTATCTGATACTTTACAGAGAAAAAATGGTTGAATTCTGAGTTAGAAGCATTTTTGTTCAAGAGAATATAATATGCTACTTGTGTGAAGCAATTTTTAAAGGTTGATTTATCTTTATTTGAAGGGCAAGAGAGAAGGAACAACATCTCCCATCTGGCTGCTCACTGTCAGAGCTGAGTTGATTTGAAGCCAAAAGCCAGGAGCTTCCTTTGGTTCCCTCATGTGAGTGCAGGGTCCCAACAATCTGGGCCATTCTATACTACCTTCCCAGACCATAATCAGAGAGCTGGATGAGAAATGCAGCAGCCAGGATACCACCCAGCACCCATATGGGACGCCAGTGCCACAGGATAGAGGATTAGCTTGTGACACCACTAGGCCAGGTTGGTCCCAGTATAAAGCAATTATAAAGAAATTTCATGCTAGGACTTAGGCACAATGGATATATGCACGTGCCAGCTTCCATGTGGGTGCCAGTTCCAGTCTGGCCGCTTCACTCGCAATCCAGCTCCCTACTAATGCATACGAAGATGGTCCAAGTGCTTGGGCCCTATATCAATAAGGGAGAGCCAGATCCTGGCTGATTATGTCATGTAAACACATGGCTGGCTTCTCAGGTGTATAAATGCCAAATTACTGCAGTCAAGGTTAGTGGATGGGCAACACATCCAGGCTCTCCTAACTGGGAGCTCTGTATCATTTCTACACAAACACACACCGCCCATTCACACCCCTGCACACCCTATCCTAATGACAATGCAATCCTGTACTACAGTATATGTCACCAGCAAGCAAAGCCTGAGAAAAGCTGGCCTGTTTGGAATGTGAGGATTAAAAACCAAAAATGGGGTGGCAGGAACATGGAGGAAAAGCCAGGAAGTGGGGGCTTCTGAGCTGGTTAACAATATGAACAACTGCAGTTCCATCTCACGAGAGACCCTCTGAGGATCAGGAATGGCGTAGGCATTCACACTGCCTCCTGGAATGAGGCTCAGGCATGTAAACCCTGGCTACAACCTTTAGCACTGCAGTATTTCCCCTGGGAACGTGTTCCCTCTGTCTCCTAACACTCTATGCCTGATGGGATTGGATACAGGTAATGTCCCAAGGCAGAACAGTAAAGTGACCCGCCAATACTTGTGGGAATGTTGGAAAACAACCAAAGCTTAAATGAAGTTAGATATGAACTGAGGCAAGCAGGCAACACTTCCCCCCTTCAGACTCTAGTCTAGTTTAGAAAACATAGGGCCTGGCACAATGGATTCATTGGCTGATCCTCCATCTCCAAGCACTGGATCCCCTATCACACCACTGAATCGTCAATTTCTGATCTGTTTCTCAAAGATTTTATCTCCATTTATCACTGATGTTGCCAGTGTAAATATAAGACATGCCAAAACCAATTTCACCTCCTTCTTTTATGAATTGATAGATGAGTAATTCAGGGAAGTTTCATTGATGTTACTGAATTACAGAATGAATAACATGAAGAAGACTAAATAGGTCAGAGGTAGATAGACCATTCCAAACTGGCAGAATACTGATCGACGATTCCAGTGTGGAGTTACATCAGATTCCTCCTGTACGCTGTGTATGAATGGTTCACCTACAGCCGCACAGCACAGCAACCTTACCTAGCATAGAGAAGTCACTCACTAAATGGGAAACAGAGCAAGGAAAGCGTCACCAAAAGTTTTCTGACCTAAGAATATTAAGAAAACCCAGGTCAGCGCTTCTCAAGTATTTTCCCCCAAGGACACACTTGGTCATGTGCAAGGGCATTTGTAGTTGTCACACTGAGGAGCAGAGTGTTAGGAAACATCCCACAATGCATGGCACAGCCCCCTTTGTCCCAAGAAAGAGCTATCCTATCCCAATTAGCCAAGGCTGAGAGAAAGAGGTGCAGAAAAGAGGTGTCTGGATAGTAACACACAAAATATATATATATATATATTATTTCTTGTCTTACAGCATTTTTGAAAATCAATGTTTCATTACAAATGGTTTGTCCTACATGCCAGCAATGCAAAGTGTTGCATTAGTGCCACCAAAACCAAAAGAATTGGTAAGTGCAATACATCTGTGCTCAGCTTTCCATTCCTGTGCCTCCAGTGGGACATAATTCAGATCGAATTCTGCTTCCGTGCAGTCCAGGTTCAAGGTGGGTGGCAGTTTTCGATAGTAACAAGCGAGTGCGGTGAAGGCCGCCTCGGCCGCCCCTGCAGCCCCCAGCAGATGGCCTGTGGCCCCCTTCGTGGAGGACACGGCCAGCTTGCGCGCGTGCTCTTTGAAGAGACGTTTGATGGCTCTGTTTTCAGCAGCATCTCCCAAGGGGGTTGAAGTGGCATGCGCGTTGACGTAGGTTATCTCCTCAAGCCGTACGCCTGCATCTTTTACAGCTGCAACCATACATCTAATAACACAGGAAAAGGAATCGATAGGAACTCGGTTTAATTTTCACAAGAGATTCTGCATTGGCATGGTTGCTGGAAAATGAATCCAGGCATTTGGTTCTACTGGATGGAAACAAGCCTCGCTCCAGTAAGAGAATCTTGGATTACCACGTGAGGCAGAATGTCATGGGCCATCAGAAGTCAGTCACACCCAGCACCTCGGAGCCAAACATGCAGACCTGTGACATCTACCATGACTAATAAAGTACAATTCCATTTGCTTGAATCGACATTCTCCTCCCCGTGAGGGAAAACTCGTGTTGACTTAAAGCCTGAATAATAATTTTTCTTCTATCAAATTTGCATTACCAGGAGAAATATAGAAATGTATCATTTTTTAGTTTTTGCTGTTCACATTTAAATGTAAAATTTGGCATATTTCCCAATAACCTGCTACTTCAGTACATCAAATAACCTTTGACTCTCTTTACTGAAGCTATGCAAAGTATAAATATAAAGCAAAGCCAAGATACAAATTAATAAAAATCTCTGGAAGAATATTTAAAAATAGATGTAGACACTTCTTTTTTAGTTTTTATCTGTGGGCTGCATGTATTCTTTAAAAAAAATTATTTGAAAGGCAAGGTGACACTGGGGGGTGGAGGAGGACCAGAGAGAGAAGCCTGCTGGTTCATGCCTCAAAAAGTCAGCGACAGTGGGGTCCTGGCCGGGCCTACGTCAGGAGCCTGGAACTCCACTTGGGCGCCCACATAGGTAGCAGAGGTCCAACTACTTTAGTCTTTCAACTGCTTCTTTTCTTTTTCAAATATTTTATTTATTTTTATTGGAAAGGCAGATATATAGAGAGAAGGATAGGCAGAGAAAGATTTTCCATCCATGCTGATTCATTCCCCACGTGGCTGCAACGGCTGGTGCTGAGCAGGGTTGCCAGGATTTGAACTGGCACCCAGGGCCCAGTGCGGTGGCCTAGTGGCTAAAGTCCTTGCCTTGAAAGCACCGGGATCCCATATGGGCACCGGTTCTAATCCCGGCAACTCCGCTTCCCATCCAGCTCACTGCTTGTGGCCTGGGAAAGCAGTACAGGACAGCTCAAGGCCTTGGGACTCTGCATCCGTGTGGGAGACCTGGAAGAGGCTCCTGGCTCCTGGCTTCAGATCGGCACAGCTCCAGCTACTGCGGCCACTTGAGGAATAAAGCAAAAGACGGAAGATCTTCCTCTCTGTCTCTCCTTCTCTCTGCGTATCTGACTTTCCAATAAAAATATAAACAAATGAGTAAATAAATAAATAAGAATGGAACCTCTTGAAATGGAGGAGGAGAAAGACACCTCTAAGAGAATTGACTTCTCTCCCAATCGCCTGACCGGCCACAGGTGAGGGCGGTGGGAGGCAGCACACTGACAGGTACTCGGCACAGACAGACACGTGAAAGATGGCAAGGAAAAAAGTTCGCGGACACCCACGATCTCCACCAATGTATCAGCCTTATTTAAAACGCAATTTTTGTACAGATGTTCTAATATTCCCAGAAGTTAAAGCTGAACATTCAGAACCACTGTGCTAAGTCTAAAGCAGAAGACAACAGAAATCTAGTGGGACTCAGAACCCTCCAAGTAGAGAAGAAAGTCTGCACAGCAGCACCATCCTTACCTAAAGGCACCTTCTCCTTCGGGATCAGGGGCGGTGATGTGCCCCGCATCGCCTGAGAGCCCATAGCCCAAAACTTCAGCATAGATGCGGGCCCCTCTTCGCAGGGCGTGTTCCTGTTCTTCCAGTACCAGCACCGCGGCCCCTTCTCCCATAACAAAGCCATCCCTCTTGGGATGAAACGGCCGACATGCCAACCTAGGATCCGAGTTGGTGCTCAGAGCCCGAGCTCTGGAAAAGCCAGCCAGCGATAAGGGACTAATACAGGAGTCGGTTCCTCCAGCCACCATGACGTCGGCATCACCGTGGGCGATGAACCGGAAAGAGTCGCCCACGGCATGAGCGCCCGTGGTACAGGCTGTGGACACCGCGTGATTGGGGCCCTTGAGTTTATAGCGGATGCTGATCTGGCCCGCAGCCATATTGATCAAAATCTTCGGGACAAAAAAGGGGCTGACTTTATTATAACCCTTTGTCTGAAACATCAGAGCTGTTTCGGAAACAACTTCCAGAGGAACCATCCCCATGCCAATGGCCACACCGGTAGCTGCTTGCTCAGCTTCTGTCTGCGGCCGCCAGCCCGAATCTTCCAAGGCTAACTCTGCAGCCCCCATGGCCATGACCGTGGGAGAAGACATGGACTTCAAGTCCGCTTTAGACACGAAGTTTTCCTCGTGGAACTCGCCTTCACCACAGCCTCTTGGCACAAAAGCAGCCACACTGCAAGGGATACCCTTATACTCTTGAGCCACCAGCGGAACAATTCCACTCTCCCCTCGGACCAGGCGGTCCCACACCAACCGGGTGCCAACACCCAGTGGGGTCACCAAGCCAATGCCTGTGATGACAACACGCCTGCGTGGCTTGAGGGACGCAGAGGTTCCCAAAGGCCTCCTCTTACTTCTTACATGCTGGCACAATCTTGAAGACAGAACAGGAGGGCTTACAAGCTTTACGAAATTCTGCAAGCAGTTTGACAACATGGTAGATGCAGGATCCGAAACACGTTCCTGTAACAGACCACAACACACCCGGGCAACAGTGCCTGTGAACCGAAGGGCCGAGAAACAACAGTCCAGGCACACCCTTTCAGGTGCCTGACTGCGAAAGTTAAATACGCACAGGGGAAAACTATGTTAAATTGCTTTTACACTTTATCTTCAAACCATGTTACACCTTTTTTACATTTGTAAGTGCTCTGAGCCCTTAAAAAACAAAAAGACCCCCCCCCCACCGCCGCCACTCATACTCATTCTCTCTCTCTCTCTCTCTCTCTCTCTCTCTCTCTCTCTCTCTCTCTCTCTCTCTCGGACACGGGCTGCAAGAGCACCCTGTTCTCGGGTTACACAGGGCTCGGTCCTAGCATGTCTGATGTCAGGGGAGCCTATTCTTTGCGATGCAATAAGTCGGCATTCTCCGTGTTCCACACGTGGGAATCAGCCGGCTGTCCGTCGGCGCTCAGATCAAGCTCCCGACCAGCAGCACCGGGCGGCTCGCCCCCAGCCAGCCTCCACCGGACAAAGTTCTCCAGCGGGGCGGGTCACCTGTGGCCCCGTCAGGACGTGACCGATTGCTTCCGGGGGAGCGCCTGGGCCGGCGGGGAGTGGACAGGTGTGGTGACCCCACCCCCAGGCCGCCCCGAGGAGGGATTGCAGCTCGGGGTCCTCCGCCTGTGTTCTCGAAACCCCACACCGACTAGACTGAGCGGGGGAGCGGAGGAAGCAAGCGGAACAGTCAGCACGGGATACCTTTGGCGGGGCTCGCGCCGACGGAAGCAGCCCTCGCGCACGCGCGCGCACGGACGTACGCAGGGGCGCGCGCGCACGCACGCACGCGTCCCGCCCGAGGCGGCGTCAGCCTCGGGAGCTCCCGGGTCCACGTCAGCTGTGGCCCGAGTGACTGGCAGGTGACTGAACCTGCAGCTAACACAGCCACGCTGTGATAACGTCCATATAGTCAGTATTGTCTGCAGTAAATTCCGCCGCGGTCCTAGGGAAAAATTAAGGCATTCCTGTTGCCACAGTTATTGCACCATGTCCCATAGTCCTTTAGAATAGTGCATAAAATACTTGGGCCCTCTCGCCCATGTCTGAGACCTGCATAGCATTCCTGGCTTCCAGCCTCAGCCTGTCCTAGCCCCAGCTGTTGTGGTCATTTGGGGAGTTTCTGTGTCTCCCCTCCTCCGTCTCACTCTTTCAAAATGAATACATCTTTACACAGACAACGAAAAACAGAGATGAGAGTCTTCCCATAAACTGCAAGTGTTACGATTTGATCAATGTTGAATTTGAGATGCAGGACAAAGCACCAATCAAAGTGTAAGAGTGAGGAAAGGGCTAAGTTACTCAAGTCTCAAGTTTCACAGAGGGGACTGCAGATCAAATCCAGAGCTGCCCGGTCTAATCTGGCCTGCTCTTACACTGAATTTCAATTTCTCAATGAGAACAATGGTTGACTCGCACACCCCTCACCGTAGATTCCTGGACCACCTACTGTCTTGAACAAAGCCATTTCTTAGATTGAAGTTACACACTTGAATTTGACACTTGGAGGTAAACTGTGGCAGGGGGAGCCACAGAAACCTACAGACTGGGAGACAGAATCAGATGTGTGCCTTGGAAGGATCTCACTGCTTCTGGATACAGGAAGGATTGGAATGGTGTGGGCAAAAACAGAGAAGAGGGTAAGACTGGATGGAGCATCGTGAGACCTTGAACTAAGCAATGACAAAGAGCGGACACGCAGGAGGTGCTGAAAAGCAAACGCTGCTAGGCTTTTCCCCAGAATAAGTGGGGTAGGGGGGCGCGGGGGGAGTCTTGAAAGTCCTTCCCTCCTCCCTCTTTTACTTCCTTAACCTTTCAATTTAAGGATTCTGACCAAATTCTCCCTTTATCAAGAAAATATAACTCAAATAAAAGTTTTCCTCCCTTTAAACGGATACATTTTTAACTTTCTTGGACACCAAATTCCCCTGGGCTTGTTACTACACAGATGCCAGGCTCCACCTAAGGATGGGGCTTGGGAACTGCTCTTCTTTCAAGTTTCTATTAATCATGCTGCCCTAACCTTAGCATGACGTCATGCGAACAGGGACCCTATTGGTCCACAGCTGTGTGTGACAGTCACTTCACAAATACCAGCTTAATGAATGAACACACACCCGTACATTACATTTGGGGGGGGGGGTGTATTTCTTACCAAAGGACTTTTGTTTGTCTCCTCACAATAGGTCTTTTATGTTGTCAGCTAAAAGGCCATCTGTGTATATGTTACTGGTTTTGCCTTCCCTACTAGATTAAAAGCATTTCATGCCATCTTTCTCACACTGCTTTGCACCCAGCAAGCACTTAATAAGTAGTAGTTGGTTAACTGGTTAATGCAGTCACACAGTGGTAATTCACCACACCAGTTCTTTGGGGTCAGTGTTTTTGGTTTTTTTTTTTCTTCACTTCTTTTTTTCTTTCTTTTGTTCTTTCCATCTTTCTTTTTTCTCCCCTTCCTTCCCTCCTCCTTCATCCATCCACCTTCCTTTCTTTCTTTCTTTCTTTCTTTCTTTCTTTCTTTCTTTCTTTCTTTCTTTCTTTCTTTCTTTCTTTCTTTTCTCTCGCTCTCTCTTGAAAAAAAACTGATCCTGGGGAAGTCTCGGCAGTTTATTTTAAGAACAGTGCCATCATATGCCAATTCTAAAAATGATGTTTTTAATAAAGTTGGAATCCAGGGTTGGGAGGGAAGGGAATCATTATACCTGAACAACAAATATTTAAATTTTTTAAAAAACAGTAAGTTCAAATCTGATTTATTTGATGGTATAAGCAGACTACGCATAGTTTGATCTCTTCCATTTTTCTAACAGAAACTGAAGAATCAAACTGTTTCCAAGTTGCCCTAGTAGCAGGAGCAGTGGAGGCAGCAGGTCACACCCCAAGCCCCACACTCTCCCCAGCCGTGGGAGGCACCTGCCCAGCTTCTACTTCCACTCCAATATCCAGCTGAGGCCTCCTTCTTGCTCAGGATCTGATACCGAAAATGAGTGATGGAGAAGGTAGTGGCATCTTGGGGCCCAAGCACTAACAAATACAGAAGTAACAGGGCTTGACAGTGAGAGTCAGCCAACTACACCTGTGGGACAAATCCAGCAGCCAGCCCTTTTGTAAACACAATTTCAGCAGAACAAAAGCACACTGCTTTGCTCGACGGAGCTACTTTCATAGAGGCAGAGTTAAATACAGACAGACTCCATGAGGCCTAAAACATTTACCCTCTGGCTCCTAAATGTTTGAACATTTAAATTCTATTCTAAGGAATACACCCTCTAATGACATCTGTATTATTCAACTCCTTTTGTGAGCCAGAAAGAAATTGTGTTAAGCCACTGAAAACTTTAGTCACAGCAGCTAGCAGCATCCTGTTGGACATTCTTGAAGTTAGCCCGAAAAGTTATCAAAAACTTTTGTGCACCGAGCAGATAGATGGTAACTGAATGGATTGCATGACCCACAGTTTTGGTCAAAGAAACTGGAAAAAAAATTTAAAGTCAACAGAAAAATGAAGATTCCAGAACATTCTAAGAGGTTCCTTAAAGTAAACAAGGATTAGGGAACATTTTAAGAGGTTGCTTAAGGTAAAGAAGTTATCTTAAAAACACAACCTCAAGAAAAACATTTGTTGGGGTTTGGAAAGAAAGAAGCCATTGGCCAAGCACACTTTCAAGAGCACAGTGAGGCAGAGGCAGTGTAAAACGTTAAGAGACAGAGTCCTTACTTCTAAGGAGTAAGTGACACCAAAGGCATGAGCTGCCTGCAAGCAAGTTCCAAAATAACACCCTTCCTTGCCTTGGGGAGCCACTGCGAGTCCTCTTGTCCTCCCCTCAGTCCCATATTTTATTATGGTTGTGTTGGTGCCGACGTGTTTCATGCTGGCCACCTCATCCCAATAGCAGGCTGCACCCCGAGGTTTATAAAACACTCCTCTACAGCAACACCATGCCATCTGATCAGAGACTTCACAGCCTTTGAATCCTGCCCCCAATTCTGCAACGAACCCACCTACAGAAACCCAGCAGGGCCGACGGCCGAGCTCTCTCGTTTGGGAACCTTCCTCCTCGCGTCTTTCACCCACATCCCCACATCCTCACATCCCCACATCCCCCTAGCACGGCCTGGCAAGGAGAAGACCGGGCAAGGGTTGTATGAGAGGTGAAGAAGCGAAATCAAGAGCGGTCTCTCAGGCTTCGCGCCCAGGGCACCCAGGCTGGCACTCAGCGTGCAGGAATCCGGGTGTCCCTTGCAGACACCGTCCCCGCCTCGCCTCGCCTCGCCTCGCCTCGCCTCGCCTCCCCTCGCTTCGGGGGACGCCGCCTCTCCCGGCCGACCCCACCCCTTCCGAGGTGTCGTCCCTGCTCGTCCCGGCTCGTCCCGGCCAACCGCTGGCCGCTAGCCGCTGGCCTCTGGCCCGACCGCACCTTCCCTGCGACAGCGCAGCCAGCTGCCCGCCCCTTCCCGGGCGGCGGTGGCCACGCCGCGGAGCGCCTGCTCAGTGCAGGACGCGGCGCGCGAGGGGCGGCGTCCGCCTCAGGCGCTCCAGCATGGCGGCGACAGCCTCGCCGCGGGTCAGCTCCTCAGCCTCGGCGTCCCCGGCCGTGGCCGAGCTCTGCCAGAACACCCCAGAGACCTTTCTGGAGGCCTCCAAGCTGCTGCTCACCTACGCTGATAACATCCTCAGGTGTGGGGCCGCGGGGCAGGACGCAGGTCCGGGACGGGTGGGCTCCCGCGGCGCTGGGACCCCGGTGTGACCGGGCGCCGACCTGTGGACCCCGAGGGTCTCAGCCTGGCCTGGGCTCGAACCCCGACTCCGCCGGCCCGGCTGTAGTCCCGCGAGAAGAGGAAGTTTGTTGGCAGCCGTGACTTTGGCACTTGCCAGCCGGGCGCCCTGGTGACCTGCAGGTCCCGGGTGGGCGGGCAGGGCGGAAGGGAGGGGGGCGCCCCGTACTCCGCCTCTCACCTCGGGGTCCACCTGTCTAGAGTCAGGAGAATGATGCCAGCGGCGTGAACTTCCCGCCCTGTGGCTTTACCAGCAGGCTGGACAGACTAGTGAGTTTCTGAGTAATAATGTCTACTAGTGTTTACCGGAAGGGCCGGCTTCTTCTTCCTCGGACTTGATTTTTCTTTTTTCCTGCTGCTTATTTTTATGGATTGGAGCCATGGTGCTTGGGACCCGGCCTTCACATATTATCTAGATTCCACTTTTCAGTAAGATCCTTTAAGAGTTAGCGAAGGTTGTCACCTTGGGGAAGAGTCTTCTGTGGCATGCTCCGTGGATGGAAAGTCTTCTTGGGGTGCTTTAAGAGACCTTCCTCACTGGGGAAGTGGGGAGGCGAGGTGGTTTATCCACGCCGCTGCCCAGTTCGACCCCTGCAACCAAGGCCTGCGGCGTGTGAGAGGAGAATGGAAGCGAGGTTCCGGGGGGTTCTAGGTGCTTCCGTGTGGTTAACTTCTGGGTCACATCACCCCGGGAGAGATGGGGTCCCAGTCCCTCTTTGCTCTTCTCAAGGGTGTGTGCGCATGAGCGTGCGCAAAATTCCGGTTGCATTCCAAAGGGGTAGGCATCTCTTGGCTCGAAATTTTACAAGTTTGCAAGTGTCGTTTTTAAACCCACGTTACCCATATTGTTCGTTGAGGTAAAGGAGTCGTTTTCCCTTTGAAGTAGTTTTCCTTTGGTTTGAAGGGAGAACTTTGCTACATGCCAGGAGCCGTGAGGGACCACAGAATTGTGAGGTGTGAGGACTACCCTTCTCTGTGACACCCCTCTGCTTCAGCCCTCAAGTTCCTTTAAGAGTTAGGACACCCATGGTCGCTGTGGATGCGTGTGTAGGCAGTGTTCACCAGAGCCCGTCTGGGGGTCTACCCACCTGCTAAGCCACCAGGCTATTTTAACCTTGGTGTTGAGGATTCACTTCTGTTTTCAAGTCAGTGCAGCCAGGTGCTTAGTGGAAGGGAAAGCTTTGCGTGCAAATGGCTGTTGCATCCCAGTCGGGGTTATGAATGTACTGTCAGCTCCCAAAGGAACCATGGTGGGGTTGGGTCAGCTCATGTACCATTGCCCTCACTGTGGCTTGCTTCTGGCATATGAGTTTTTCTTCTAGAAGGGGATCATGAGTTTAGATTTTAGATCATTGGAGACAGTATGGAAAAGTGGGCTTTTTCACTTTGTCTTAACCGATAGTGCCCCTGACCTCCTATTCTTAGAATCCAAGCCCTTTGAGCCCAGGGCTCAGTGAGCCAGTGCAAGAGGGTGGAGAGGTGAGCTGGCTGCACAGAAAAACTGCAGCTCCATCTCGGTCTCCTGCCACCTGACCTAAGAAATCTGCTCAGCTGACTTGAAAGTATTCTGAAAAGGTCAAGGCTTTCTGTCCCCCCTGCTGGTTTAGGTACATGTGCCAGCATTAGAAGTAAGGGAATTTATAAAGTACCCATCCTTTGCCTCTACCTCAAGGACTGGCAATTTTACAGAATAATGCTGAGGTGAGAATTTCATCAGGTTTTTATTAAAATCCAGTACTTGTTGCTGTACACACTGAGTCTCAAAAAAAATAATACTTTTGGTTCATTTTTTTTAAAAGTTGTTATTATTTTCTATAATAAAGTTTTATAGGTAAGGAATTCTCCCCTCTACTTCCCCTTCCACCCTCTCCAGTCTCCCACTTCATGGTTTTCTCTCATATTCTTACAATGCTATAATCCTTCAGCGATAGTTGCAGCATCCTGCTATTTAACTATAACATTGCAGGTCTAGGAAATGGTAGAAAATCTGGCATCATATTGTCAAGCATATTTAACATAGTTCATCCATGACAGTATATGCGTGTGCATGCTTACCTGTATGTCTGTTCATCTAGTATTTTGTGTAACGGTTGGCTTATATTAGAACACACGATGCTGTTCCTTTGGGACTGGCTTTCACTGAGTGGGATGATCTACAGTTGGGACTCTTTTGTTGCAAATGGTAGAATTTAATTCTTTTTGATGGCTGAATAGTATTCCATAGTTTCTTTATCCATTCCTCTTTTGATGGGCACCTGGGTTGTTTCTGTGTCCTCGTGGTTACAGATTGTGTTGCTATAAATATAGGCATGCAGGTCACTTTCTGATGCAGATTTCATTTCCTTTGGCTACATTCCCAGGAATGGGATAGCTGGATCAATTTTCAGTTGTCATGGCACTCTCCCTCCTGAATTCCATTGTGGCTGCACTAGCCCATGCTCCTGCCAGCAGTGGAGTAGGGTAATTTTCACTCCACTTCCACACCAACAGCTGTTACTAGATTTCTGAATGTAGGCCAATCTCACTGGAGTGGTTTTTCTCTGCATTTCCTAATAACTACAGAACCTGGGAATTTTTTCATGTCTATCAGCCATTTGGGTTTATTCTTTTGAAAAATGCCTGCTCATTTTATTTGCCCATTTCTTGTTAATTTTTCTGTTCTTGAGTTTCCGAAGCTGTTTGTAAATCCTGGATGTTAGTCTTCTGTCTGTTGTATACTGTGCAGATTTTTTTTTTGTTGGTTGCTTTTTCACTTTGTATTTTAGTATTATTATTGCTATATGAAAGCTTCTCAGTTTGATGTAATCCATTTGTTTACTTAGGCTTTGACTACCTGTGCTTTTGGTGACTTTTTAAAGAAGTCCATTAATGCCTGTATCTTGTACAATGCTTCCTATGTCGTCCTCTGATAACATGATGGTTTCTGGATACAGAATCAGGTCGTTGGTCCATATAGAGTTGATTATTGTATAAGGTGATAGGAAAGGGTCTTGCTTCTTATGTCTGCAGGCTGATATCCAGTTGTCCCAACAGCATTTGTTAACGAGGACAAACTTTTTCCATGGGTTATTTTCAGTTCTCCTGTGGAAGATAAGTTGGTTATACATGTGTGAGCTCCCTTCTGGGGTTTATGTTCTATTCAGTTGATTATTTTCTTTGTTTCTATACCAGTGCCAGATATGAGATGAAAACAATTGGGAAAACATCAAAATATATTTACAGTGATGCTAGTGTGAGAGGTGGAATGCAGTAAAATTTGCTGTCCTTGGAAGACCCTGTTCTTTGATAGTTAACCCTCCACATCCGTTTTTGTAAAAAAATAAGAAGATATGAAGTAGTTGCTTCCAAGCAGGGTCAGCATTACAAGTTGCAGAATTATTGAACAGCAGAAATATAAAAATAAAACATTGTTCTAACAATCAAGATGCCAGCTTCCATATTGAAGTGCCTGGGTCTGAGTTGCAGCTCTGACTCCTAACTTTATCCTCCCGCAGTGCAGACCTGGGAGGGTATGGTAACGGTTCAGGTGGCTGTGAAGTTCAGGTGCCTGCATTCAGTTCCCAGCACCCAGTCTTAGCCCTGGCAGTTTTGGGCATCTAGAAAGTGGACCAGCAAATAGGAGGGCTCTCCATTTCTCTGTTGCTGCCTCTTCAGTAAATAGTATACAAAAAAGTACAGCAAAAATTGGAAGTCTGGCAGGGTGGTGTATGAGGCTGACCATACTCTATAGTGACAGCATCCTCTATGATTGGCCAAGTGTAGTACTGTTGATTATCTTGGGTTTTTTTTCTGAATTTGACTAAGACTTTCTGATTTATGAAACTTATTTTTAAAATGTGAAATTGAAACTTACATTTTTATTACTCATCCTATGTACATTGTTTAGAATCTTAATTATGGTAACAATTTGTATATTTAATTTTTATTTTTTTATTTCCATATTTGCTGTGTCAAAAATATGCCCAGTCTTAAGCTGAAGCAGATCCTATGGTAAAAGCAATTGGTGGTCAAGGAAAATTAAGTAAATCACGTGATGTGTACAAGATAAAGCTAGGTGCCTGCTTATTTAAAGTACAGTCTTTGAAAGCTGTGACCCATTTTGTACCTTAATTTAATTCACAAATGCTTATTAATCATCATCTCTATGTGTAGCATATATATTTTATTCTATCCATCAGAATAAAATAGACAAAATCCTTGCCCCCACCTAGGGTTGTGTGATTTTTCTTTTTTTCCAGTGACTTGGAAGGCTTATGGAAGTTTCCAGCTTCAACAACACAGGTTAAAATGTTGTATGGATTTTCTTTTTTTAGGATATATTCTTATTTGAAAGGAAGAGTTACACAGAGAAGGAGAGACTGAGAGATCTTCCTTCAGCGGGTTCACTCCCCAGAAGGCCACACAGGCCAGAGCTAAGCCCATGTGAAGACAGGAGCTTCTCCCTGGTCTCCCACTTGGGTGCAGAGGCTTGAGGCTTTGGGCCATCCTCTGTTATTTTTCCAGGCCATAAGCAGGGACATGGGCTGGTACCTGTAAATGGATGCTGGTGCTACTGTTGAGTCTTAGCCTACTACACTAGGGTGCCAATTCCATATTTTCTTTATGATAACATTAATATCTGCAGTTATAAAATTAAAAAATGAAGTGGCATTAAAAGTAATGAGGTTAAAAGTCACAACAATGAAACTTTTCCAGGTTTTTTCCTTTTTAAAGTTGAAGTCTATGTTACCATAGAGGAGCAAAGCCAGTGTAAAAAGTGGAAAGAAATGCAAAAGGACTATGAAAAACGTGTGTGTGTGTATCTATCCATCTATATTTCAACTTTTCTTTTAAAAGCTTATTAATTGCTTTTAAAAGCAGAAATAAACAGATTTTGCGTCCTCTGGTTCATTCACCAAATGGCCACAAAAACCAGGAGCCAGGAACTCCATCAAGGACGCCCATGTGGGAGCAGGGGTCCCAAGCTCCTGGGTAACCATCTAGTGCCACCCAGAGAGCTTCTCGGTGAGCAGGAAGCTGGGTGAGAAACAAGACAGCCTGGACTCTAACCACCGCTCCTGAAGAGCGTTTGCATCAAGCAGTGGCTTAACCCTGTGGGGTGCAACACTGGCCCTTTATAATCAAAACTTCTTTCTTTTTTTTTTTCCTTCAGAAACCCTAATGATGAAAAATACAGATCTATCCGGATTGGAAATGCAGCTTTTTCTACTAGACTCTTGCCTGTCAGGGGAGCTGTAGAGTGTTTATTTGAAATGGGTTTTGAAGAGGTATGTACATTCGATTTTTCTCTCCCTGCTTCATGCACAAAGCAGGATGGAGAATTGTTTCAATAAGATTATATTGTTTCTTGATTGGATGTTTGGGCAAGCTATGGACCTAGTTATTCAGCTAACTGACATTTAAAAATCATGGTTGATTTAAAGATACTTCAGAAAGTTGGTGGAAAATGAACATTATGAAGAAACCTTGCATTGGTTTCTAAATATTTTTACACCAAAATAATCTTACTTTTTGATTCCATTCTCCACAAACTTTATTACCTTGTATACTTTAAGGTCACAGTAAAATACATGGAGAGCCTTAAAAATGTCAGCCCTGTAAGGTAGAGTAAGGTTGGACAAGCAACACAAAGACTTTTAACACATACCTAGTTTGTGAGTTGACAGGAATAATAATAGGGTCTGACCATCTGTCTCCAATAAGAAATTGAAGTTTTGAAGTCAACACAGAAAAATTCAGTTGCCACAGAAAAGGTTCTTCGCTGTGAAAGAAGAAATTTTAATAAAAATAGTAGATGGGGCTTGCCATGTAATGGTTGAATATCTGGATTTGTGGGCTCACCACTGTGGTACTGCCATACCTGCTGGTTTGCTCAAGAGCTGAGAGTGGTTTCTTGGCCTTTGCACTTGTTGGTGGATATTGCAGCCCGGCCCACCCCACACCCAATTCCTGAGTGAGCCTGTGGGTATTACAGCCTGGACTTGCCCGGCCTGTTCTCAACTCCAGTAGCCCTGAGTGTTGGTGAGTTCCATTGTCATGCCTAGTTTGGCCTGTCACCACTCTGCAGTAGCTTTTGTGAAAACAGTAGTGGCAAGGGATGAAGCGGGGAGGTGTTCAGAAAGCTGATGTTCATCTGAATGAGAGATTGTGTGATTTGTATGAGTTCAGTGAAAGCAGGACTTTTTGTGTGTTTAGCTCCTGGAGTTGCTTGCCTCTGCAGGAGTGCCAGTTTATTCCAGATGTTGGGCTCTCCATAACTACTGGGTATTCATTAACTACTAAGCTCTTCACAGACTTGGGATCACCATTTTGCTGTTAGTAATCTTACTTAAGAAATCACTGAACCAGTGTAGATTTTGTTGTCTGAGAGAAGTTAATGGACCCCATGAACTGGCTTCTGGTCTTACAGTTTTTAAAGACGTGGGTTAACAGTTATAGAATTCAGTTGCTTGTGAACTCTTTGCTCCTTTTCCTAATTTTACAAATTCCAGGGAGAAACACATCTCATCTTTCCTGAAAAAGCTTCAGTGGAACAGCTGCAAAAAATTCGGGACTTGATTGCCCTCGAGAGAAGCAGCAGACTGGATGGGTCCAGTCGGAGCCAAGAGGCAGAGTCCTCTCCGCAGCTTGCAGCCAGCCCCCCGCTGCCTGGGCCACAGTCATCCAGCCCCGCCGAGGCAAGCCGGAGTGCCGGAAACCAGCAAGGGCCACCCTCCAACCCACCAGCGATGCCAATGGTAATTTTGAAATTTACCCTTCCTGAGCAGGTGCCATCAGTGTTGAAACAGCAGAAATCTTGTCTACCGAGTTAGGGTTTATGCCCAGACACTCTTTTGTTCTGATGATGATTGCATATTTTGTCGGTTCCTTAAAGAGTTGTCAAAATTGTAGAAAAGTGGGGGGTGTGGCCCTCTATTTTTAAATCCCAACTTTGGTTTATGATTTAGGAGGCAGCTAAGTTTTGTTTAGCACTCCTGCAGATGCTGCGGTGAGGGGCTGCAGCTGCCGTAGGGGTGTCCGTATCACCTGGGAGAGTGCAGGCTGCTCCACTTCTGCTCCAGTTCCCCCAGCTGCTGCAGGCATTTGGGGAGTGCAGTGGCAGACGGACGATCTCTCATGTGTACACGTACAGTCATTCTGTCTTTCAAATGACAGAATAGACCTCTTTCATGGTTTATTTGTTTGAGACGTAGAAATTCAGACAGTGACTGTTCTGATTCTCACTTGTAAGAGATCATACTGCCTAGTTTATAATTTTCTCTGTTAGATTATTTCACCCTTATTGAACTTTTTAAAAAAATAGATTTATTTATTTATTTGAAAAGCATAGTTAGGAGAGGGACAGCCTGGCCCTGCACTGGCTTACTCCCCAAATGGCCCCAACAGACTACAGCCAGGAGCTTCCTTCAGATCTCCTGGGTGGAGGCAGCAGCCCAAAAACTTGGACCATCCTCTGCTGCTTCTCCAGGTGTGTGCCAGGGAGCTGGATCAGAAATGGAGCAGCTGGGATAGAAATCACTGCCTGTGTGGGACGCTGGCACCGCAGATGGCAGACTAACCCACTGCACTACAGTGCCAGTCCTTGAACAAATCTCTTTTAAAAAGGGTCTACTACCTTGGTACTTACACCAGGTACACCAGTGAACATGTGGCTTTAGACTGAAACAAGTGACTTCCTGAACAGAAATGTGGCCATCACATTAGCAGAATTCCTCATTGCCTTGAACTTCTTATCTGTATACTTCTGACACCATTCATCAAGGATTAATTCCAAAAATCCTAACTAGTACACACATGCTAATTCAGTTAAAAATCGGCTATTTTGGATTTAAGGTTTATTAGCAAGGATGTATTAATTTGCTATAATAGGCTAGTGGTTATTAGTGTACTTACAAAGGATAGGTATGGGTACTTACAAAGAACTGAAATAGACCTGGTGTCTCAGAAGTGTTCCTGTCTTACAGGATCAACCCCAGTTACAAAAGTCCCTTTCAGTAGATGTTGTTAGGTAGTATTTTTGAAAAATTTTCACTGTTGGAAGAATTTTTCAGACACACAGCAGAAATTGTACAGTCTGTCATAGGCTGGAAAGACCCAAACTTCTCCTAAAATAGTTAAAAATATTCCGATCTGCCAAAAGAAATGAGAGTTATTAGAAGCTTCGTGTAATTCTTATTAAATAATTTCTAAACGTTTGTTGCTTCGTAAATAGTGCTTGTTTAGAATAAGCATAACTGGTGTTCAGGAAGGTTTCTCGGAAAGCAGTCCTGGGTACTGCAGAGTCAATAATGACACTAAGGCAGTGGCACGAGATGGGATTGCCAGTGTGAACACTTTGTAAACTGAAAGCTTAAAGTTGTCCTTAGATGATACTAATTCTGCGAAGTGTCAGATTGACATTATTCAGGATGACATCACAGCATCACAGAGAATGAATTTTAGAAAAGATTTATTTATCTGAAAGATAGAGTTAGAGAAGTAGAGGGTGAGGTATTTCACCACTGTCTCCCTCCACAAATGGCCGTAATGGCCGGAGCTGGTCCACACTGCTGTCCCCTGGGTATTAGCAGGGAGCTGGATCAGCAGTGGGGCAGCCAGAACTTGAACTGGCACCTGTGTGACACACCAATATTGCACGCTTCAGCTTCACCCCCTGTACCCATAGTGCTGGCCCTAAATTAGACCTTGATGCTCATGGGACAGCAGTGGAAGAGGGCCCGAATGCTTGGGTCCCAGCACCCATGCTGGAGACCTGGATGAAGTTCTACATTTCTGGCTGCAGAGCAATATAATAACAACAGAATGTCATTTTTGTTGCCAAAATTTTCTGGAGTACAGAAGAAAATGAGCTTTCACAAAAATGTGTGCTATTAGTAAACTAATACATTACTCCAGTCCTTAAGATAAGATACCTTGGGACCAGTGCTCTAGCGTAATAGGCTAAGCCTCAGCCTGCAGCATCAGCATCCTGTATGGGTGCCAGTTCCTGTTCCACCTGCTCTACTTCCAATCCAGCCCCATGCTTATGACCTGGAAAAGCAGCAGGAGGATGGCCCAAGACTTTGGACCCCTGTACCCACGTGGGAGACCCGGAAGAAGCTCCTAGCTTCAGATCGGCTCTGTGCCAGTCATTGTGACATCTGGGGAGTAAACCAGCAGCTGAATGACCTCTCTTTCTCACACACATATATATGTGTGTGTATATATACAAGCACACACACACATATATATAATATACATATAATATACATATATAGTATATATATATATACTATATATACTATAGTGTATATAAATATACTATATATATTGTGTATATATAGTATATATAGTATATATACTATACTATATACTAGTATATATACTATATACTATATATACTATATACTAGTATATATATACTATATACTAGTATATATAGTATACTATATATACTATATACTATACTATATATATACTATATAATATACTATATATATTGTGTATATATATATACTATATATATATATATATTTCTGTTTTCCTTAAAGGAGTTGGCAAATACTAGAAGTACTCTTGTTTTTTTTTTTATACACAAGTTAACGGTTATCCATGAGAAGCAGGAATTTCTTTTTAAACTTATTCCATTATTTACACTTATTTATTTAGTATATTGCAAAATTTAGTATATTGCAAAATTCAGCAATTACTTTTTCTTGCTTACCCATTTCGGACAGAAAACATGAGAGATTAAAAAGCATTTAGTCTACATGTTTATAAAATCTTGAAATGTAAGTCAGTATGGTAGTAACAGATGTTGAAATTTGCCAATAGATTAATCCTTTAAGATGCAAAGTACTGGACTATATTGTTACTCAGTATATGGCAGTAGTGGTTGTTACAACGTTTTGTGGATTTGGCATTGTGGTATAAGTCTCAGCCTGCAGTGCTGGCATCACATATGGGCACCTGCTTGAGTGTTGGCTTCCTCGCTTCTGATCCAGCTCCCCACTAATGGCCTGGGAAAAAGTGGTGGAAGATGGCCCAAGTGCTTGGGTCCCTGCAGCCCATCTGGGAGCCGCGGAAGAAGCTCTGGCTCTTAGCTTCAGCCGGGCCTGGCGCTGGTCATTGTGGCAATCTTGGGAATGAACCAGCAGATGCAAGATCTCAATCTCTCCCTGTAACTCTGACTTTTATAAATCATTTCTTAAAGAAAGTTACTTTTTGCTTCCTTGAGTATTCTATGTGAAAGGAATTATGCAATGTGTTGCTTTTTGCTTCTTTGTATATTTTTTAAGTATATTCATATTGTAAAATGTCAGAATGTTCTCTTTTTATTGCTTAATACTATCCTAGTATAAAAATGTATCACATTTTGATAATCCATTCATAAGTTGATGGATATTTGGGTTGTTTTTCATTATGAAAATGGAAAAATGTGAATATTCATGGGTAGGTTTTTGTATAGCCATATGTTTTCTTTTAAAGAATGTATTTGCTTATTTATTTGAAGGTAGAGGGAGTGAGAGAGAGAGAGATCTTTCCATTCTCTGATTCACTCCTAAATGGTCCCAAGCCTACCAAAATCAGGAGCAAGGGACTTCGTCTGGGTCTCCCACATGCCTGGCAGAAGCCCAAATACTTGGTCTATTCTCCACCACTTTTCCCAGGCCATTAGAAGGGAGCAGGATGGGAAAAGCAGCAACCAGGACACAAACCAGCACCCACATTGGATACTGGCGGCTTTACATGCTATGCCTTCATGCTGGCTTCTGGCCATGCTTTCATTTCTTTTGTGTTAATTGTTCTGGATTTTAGGTTAAGTTTAAGTTTATTAATGTTTTCAGAAGTTGCAAACAATTTTCCAAAGTTACCATACCATTTTTATCCTCACCAGCAATGCTTGAGGGTTTAAATATTTTTTGACATTTCAATTTTTTATTCATTTATTTTTATTACACTTTATCTTTTAAAAGATTTTCAAAAACTTTGTGTGTTTTTTATTTTTGATGATATGTACATAGTTGACCAGGGTGGGAAGAGTCAAGGACTAGGAGAGTGTGGGTGAGACCATTGTTTCCAAATCTTCCCTCTCTTCCTGTATCTGGGGGAAGGGAGGAAATTAGGGGAGAAGCTGCACCCAGCCTCCCTTTTGGCCCAGTACCCAGGGATGGGGAACAGCCACCCGATGCCATCTCAGGGTCCCCGGTGTGTGGCCTACCTGGACATGAGGCTCCAGGTCTCCTCACACTCCCCAGAAGCATTCCCTACGACTTCCAGAAGCCTGCACCCACAGGCCCGCCGGGAGCACAGGGCTGAACACTTGCCTAGGGCTGGGCCGCATTCAGCTAGCTGCTTGGTGACTCAAGGGTTTCAACTTTTAATATCTTCATCAACAGCAGTTATTCTGTGTGCATTTTAGTGGCTGTTACGTTTTACCCTATTTTGATTGTCTTTGCCCTAATGACCCAACTGATTTATAAATTTGCTTGTTAAATATCTTGAGTGTTTAATGTTCTTAATGGAAATAAAAACTATTTTTGTAACATTTGCCTTCCAGAAGCAGATATGAAATAGCAGAAATGGTTTTTCAATGACATAGAACCTCAGAACCTTAGCAACATTAATGTTTCCAGTGTTGTCTTGCTTTGTTTTTTGCTTTTAGAGTTATTTATTTGAAAGACAGAGAGTAGGGATGACAGATCATCTGTCTACTGGTTCACTCCCCAAACGGCCACGACAGCTGGGACTCAGTCTA